ACATGGTGTAGTTAGACAAGTGTCGTCAGCTGACATGGTGAAGGTAGACAAGTGTCGTCAGCTGACATGTTGTAGCTAGACAAGTGTCGTCATCTGACATTGTGTAGTTAGACAAGTGTCGTCAGCTGACATGGTGTAGTTAGTCAAGTGTTGTCAGCTGACATTGTGTAGCTAGACAATTGTCGTCAGCTGACATGGTGTAGTTAGTCAAGTGTCGTCAGCTTACATGGTGTAGCTAGACAAGTGTCGTCAGATGACATGTTGTAGTTAGTCAAGTGTCGTCAATCGACATGGTATAGTTAGTCAAGTGCCGTCAGCTAACATGGTGTAGTTAGACAAGTGTCGTCAGCTGACATGGTGAAAGTAGACAAGTATCGTCAGCTGACATGGTGTAGGTAGACAAGTGTTGTCAGCTGACATGGTGTAGTTAGTCAAGTGTCGTCAATTGACATGGTGTAGTTAGTCAAGTGTCGTAAGCGGAAATGGTGTAGTTAGACAAGTATCGTCAGCTGACATGGTGTAGTTAGTCAAGTGTCGTCAGCTGACATAGTGTAGTTAGACAAGTGTCGTCAGCTGGCGTGGTGTAGTTAGGCAAGTGTCGTCAGCTGACATGGTGTAGTTAGACAAGTGTCGTCAGATGACATGGTGTAGTTAGACAAGTGTCGTCAGCTGACATGGTGTAGATAGACAAGTGTCGTCAGATGACATGGTGTAGTTAGGCAAGGAAATGTGAACAGAGCCTGCCATTTTCTCTATCTTTTGTGACCTCGACGCTAATTGGCTTCTAGCTCGAATGTCCGACATGATAATGTAAGGCCATGAGCAATCATACAATTGAAAATTATACTGCATGATATATGGCAAATCATACATCAAATTAAAGAAAAAATATTTTCCTGACGATCTAGACTGCTCCCGGCGTGATACTAAGGAATGGCTACGACAAAAGCACATGTTTTCTGGAACGGGTTCATTAACTAGGGGGACAGAGTTAGCAAGCTTGATTATATTACAGGTGTATTGACAGACGAGGCTAGTACCTGTGATCAGCCATGTTCTCTCGGCGAAACGATCATAATGACAAACCGTTCATTGCATAGCTGGAAAAATGTCGTCTGCTGACCTATGATGTATGTATCCATGTATATTGTTACTCACGTGGTATCTATTACTAGATGCTAAAAGTCCATAGTGTGTCTTAGGTTCATCAGACCAACTCCGACTTTTGTCAATTTTGAGTTCTGTTCACTGAACAAGTGAGAATATATACAATTCCTATTGGCAAATACAGTTTACCGGGAAATCAAAAGAAAATCATCGACAAATTACTATCAACAAAGGTTTATTATGCAAACAAATTTCAACATTTGCAACAGAACTGTAGGTTTGATACCGACAAGTTACCATAAGCTCTACATTTGTACATGTACTATTGCTATGTAGCATAATAAATACGTAGTTTGTGTACCGACGACATGATTTTGACCAGGACACTCAAAACAAATACAGTTTAACAATTGATTATGCAACAGAGAATTATAAACATCGCGAATTATTTGACCTTTGACAAAAGAGTTTGTAAGGAACAATGACTATTTTCAGCGTTTCATGATATTTGAATCCAAAAACCTTTGTCTGGGATTGAGCAGCGGAAGTTGGACCCCCAAGAGTTACTGTACAATACTATTCCATATTATTGTACAATATTACTCCATATTACTGTACAATACTACTCCATATTACTGTACAATATTACTCCATACTACTGTACAATACTACTCCATACTACTGTACAATATTACTCCATATTACTGTACATTATTACTCCATACTACTGTACAATACTACTCCATATTACTGTACAATATTACTCCATACTACTGTACAATATTACTCCATATTACTGTACAATATTAATCCATACTACTGTACAATACTACTCCATATTACTGTACAATACTACTCCATATTACTGTACAATANTACTGTACAATACTACTCCGTAATACAATACTACTCCATACTACTGTACAATACTACTCCGTAATACAATACTACTCCATACTACTGTACAATACTACGCCATACTACTGTACAATACTACTCCATACTACTGTACAATACTACTCCGTAATACAATACTACTCCATACTACTGTACAATACTACGCCATATTACTGTACAATACTACTCCATACTACTGTACAATATCACTCCATCTTACCAGTTTTTATTGCACGATCATTTCTGAATGATTTGTTTCCAGTAAGTGTCCCAATTTGGGTACAGCAACGTTATACAGTAGTACATTTGTACACGCATATACAAAGAAAATACAGGATCTTAGGAATCAGATGGGCAATACTACTGCGCACTCCATCAGTATATGTGCACACACCATTGCACACAAGCAGATGGGAAATAGTTTATCCACGTCATCATTAATTCGTTCACACTTGAAGAGTTATAGTATAATTAACAGAGGCAGTTGTCTACACGATCCCTGCTTGATCAGACTTCTTTCGATTCACATAAATAGGCACCGAAATAGGCATAGACCACCGATGTATATTATGTTTAAATATTTTGTTTCCAAAAAGGATTAATTTGTAAATATTTTGTTTAAAAAAAAGGATTGATTTGGAAATGTCTAATTCGCATGAAACACCTGGCCAGGATGATGAAAATGAGTAGCAAAGCAACATATGCTATGGATTCGATTCCGATACTTTATATATTTTTGAAGTTCATTAAAATAATGTTATAATTCCTGTTGAAAATAATCTACTAAACAAGTTATTCTTATCGTTACACGTGCCTAGGAGGTTATATAACAAGATACCACATACAAACACAACAAAATAAATTAAAGTACAATCATATTAGCACTTTGTTAACGAAGAAAAAACGTAACAGCTAATTACAAAGAAAATGTCCCAATAGCGGTTTTATGTGCATCGCTCATACATGTACCAATCAATGGTTGAATCAGTACAGATACTTTTCTCATTGACCATAGGTTCCTTAACTAGTAAAACCAGCTTATTTATTCTTTTTTGTTTGGAAAAGAACTTTACCGATTTATTGAAATACAATATCATGATTGAAAACTAATTCGAAGCATTAACGTATGTACAACAAAAGCTGATTGATCTGAATGACACTGCTATCGGCATCAAAGATAGAGTTAGTTCCCTTGCATCATAAAAATAACGTTCCGTTAAGCTCAATCTTTCAAATGCACTGATAAAACCACTGCACAATTGCTTTCATATCAGATACAATCAACACTCGCAAGGTCTCTTTCCCCCGATATATGTTTGTGTAAGACAAATCTGACAAATAACACTTGAAAATGCGAGAGGCCTGGTTATGTATGGACCAAAGAAACAATGTCTTTCATCAAAGTTGTACATCATTTCAGAGAAAAACGGTTCATACAGGCCTACAGCACATTTTAATAATTTGCTCAGAGTACAATAATAAGAGGTTACCGGTATTTAACACCTTATTTTTTAAAGTACTTTCTTCAAGGAAAGGAAACAGTTGCATTGCACATGACCATGCTCTCTAAACGCCATTACTTTGTGCGAATCCTAGCACGAAGACAGCGCCGCCTGGCGGCCTCCATCACATCACGTGGTACCGATCGAACATAACTCCTCCTTTCAGGAGAGGGACTTCTAGGACGATTTGGAGTAGACGGGGCATCAAGAATAAGTCCCCTTCTGTTTGAATATTTGTGCTCTGATGGCGGAAGCGGAAGCTGCTGGTTAAGAGGCGGTTCACTTCTCGGTGTAATGATATGAATCCTAGGAATTTTCAAACCTAATTCACCGTTTGAAATGTCTCGTTCCTCGCCATCCTGAGAAATGTCAGACTCGTTTGCTTCTCGATTTTCCTTGCCCGGAGACATTTTGTACCTTGTCATGGAACTGTCCATTGATAAGTCAATCGCACCGTCATAGGAGTCCGGAGTAGTATTCGCCTCGGACCTCGGTCTCTTACTAAGATCTAACGATCCATCAAGGCGTGGTGTCAAAGGTCGCTTCCGGGTTGATAGATCATGCGCTGTAGAGTGAATGTCGGAAAGATCCGGGCAAGATGTGACACTGCTTGCTCTCTCTGAATATGAAACACAAGGAAGTGACGTTTTATCATGTTTCTTTAAAATGTCTGTGTCACTAGAATCACTTAATTCTACCTTAATTCTGTGGTTCCTTTGAGACTCGATTAGAGCCTCATCAGTTTGTTTGCGTTGGGAAACAGGTTCTTCCTTTTTTTCATTTTTAGTTTGTTCCAGTTTCTTATTATACACTTCCATGATTTGTTCCATCTTTAACGGTAGAGGTAGCGGTACCGGGAAGGGCACTGGCATGGGGAACGGTACGGGCATGATCATAGTCACTGGAGGCATACCACCTAGATATTGAGATCCCTGTCTGTACCCTGCCCCGCCTAAACTCGGATCGAACCCTAGCATCGCAGGGCCATTCCAGATGTTCGCCATTCCCGACAGAAAAGACGTAGCGCCTGGTGCCTTTTGGGCGCATTTCGTACCACCGAAGGTCGCTGATGTACCACTTTGCTTGGCCGAAGCTAGGTTTGTGTTTAGTGTTGTCGACGGTGACGACGAATCCGGAGATAGGGTCGGTCTACTTGGTGTAGGTGTAGACATCCTACTGCTAGGTGGACGGAGTAGACCGTCTGTGTTTGGGATTTGTCCCCCGGGCAAAATTCCGGGAACAGGAGGCATATATCCTCCGTAAAACCAGGGCGGAATAGGACCCATTGGAGGCATGCCTGGACCGAAAGCGCCCCACAAGTGCGGAGGAATCAATGGCATCGAAGGGTATCCAGCAGCGTTTGCTAACATAGCGTTAGGCTGTACTGTCGATGTCGCCGTGGGGGAAGAGTCCGATGATGGGATCTGTGGACTTGCAAGACCAGCAGAGTCCTTGGAGGGCGACCTCCGGTGTCGATTACGAACCAAACGATCCATCATACTCCGAGGTCTGTCTATCTCACTGTGAGAGCGAGACTTGTGGACGTCACTCCTCCATTCCGTCTTAGTCGAGTGTTTCCTTGTCTTTTCTCTCTCCTCACGTCGACTGTCTCTGTGAATGTGACCGACTTTTTCCTTGTGACTGTGACCATCACGGTGATTTTCTCTCTGGTTTCCTCTGTTGCTATATGATTCAATTTGATTATCTCTGTGAGGTGTCGTCTCTTTTGGCTTGCTCTCACTTTTTTCCTCTGTAGAGGGCGAATCCTTCATCCAGAGATCCGGTGTTATCAGAATCTGTCTGTCCGGACTTTTAGACGAAGATACATTGTCACTTTGACTCTGAATTTGTTGTAAATGTTCCTGTGTTTCCTTACAAAATATTTTCATTTTGTATTGATTTAAGCATTTAGCACTGCAGAACTGAAGTTGCTGTTCGCCATCTTGAAAGTCAACGTAGTTCACAGTGTGACGAACATGCTTGCACCAATCACAAATTCGGTTCTTTTTGAACGATGCACGCCGGCACTGCGTGAAGCACACCTCGCTACAGAAGGCTTTGGTTGTGGTGGAGGTCTTTAAGGTGAAAAGCTTTATTCCGGGTTTCTGACACCATGCACACGTGATGTAGCCGCTCGGCAATGTCCCATCTGGAGCACCTGTCCAAACAGAAAACCAACCGCTTGAATATAACGTATACGTGCTTATAACTTAATCTGTCGTGATGTACTATATGATATAATTAGTGGTAAGCCTGTACGGATCATTAGATACAGTATAGAAGCCACTATTAGGCCCAAAACATTCTCCTTGGTTTTATTTACAGTGTAGTTTCGTAATGCCATAAACAAAAGCTGGGGCAGTAAACACTCGTGTATAAAGTGCATGGAAATGAGGATTACCTACGCGTGACGTCACCTGGCCAGTCGAGGTTACACGAGAGTGAATTGCTTCCATTAAAAAAGGTATTCAAATGCACATTGTATAGAATTCCATCGGTAATTCTCCAGCGAGATATCGTGTTTAATGTTACCCGCTAAATGAGAGCTTGTTTGAAATAGGAGCATACATCATATTGAATTTAATAGCGTTTTAATGGATTGTATTTCGGTGCACAAAATATGAATTATTGCCACTTTAAACAATTGCATGTCTTTTCCCGGGAAAACATGGCTTGAATTTGAAATATTATTTTAACATTGTTATAAATGTTGATTTCATACTATGAATGATTATTCATTTAACACTTACATTGGAGCGTATTGCTACCGATTACAGACTTTTTACTGGTCATACTTCAAAAAGCTTTATATAACTACAGATCTATTTGATTAACAAATTATTGTAATCTGAGAAAATAAAGGATTTGTTTTTATACAGAACGATCCAATACAGTTCTTGTCACGGGAGCTTTGTCAACCTACTCAACTTCTATATATACAACTATGTCTTGTTAGGTTGTTATATCTTGTTGTGAAGTAAAATGGATACCTTTATGTGAAGTTAAAAATATATCATATTTTGTAAAAGAGTACAACTTATTATTTACTTGAAAGGCCAAACAACAGCAATCTATTATAGTGGGTGTAAATGATACGTATTGTATGCCTTTTCTGGCCCGAAGGGAACGAGGAACAATAAACCTAGGATTCGATTACCATTCTCGGGAAAATCTAATAGGGACTTTGATAGTATGGCCCTACCCCGGACGGTAATGTCTCCGTGTAACGCCAGTCTTAGAGATGCTTACGTACTCAGCCTTAGAGCGGCCAGACTACACTTAAACGGAGACAATAGTTAAACAATACCAGGAGTATCTGTTCCATTTAATTGTGGTATGAAACTTCTTCCTGTTTTCATGTTCTGAATATCTAGGGGATATCATTGTCGCGCGTGGTTCGATCCCTGTCACCCAATACCCCGCTGTGTAAAGGGCCAGATGCACGTTCTTTCTCTGTATAGACTGAATCGTGACACCCTACACCCTGTATCGATTGGGTGGATTCGAAATTGCTTGATTTGATTTAAATCGGGTGCCTTTTGAAGGATTAGCTTGCAGGTATACGATTTCAGCAGACCATCAGACGCAACTATGGACCTACGTCCGCTGAAGAGGAGGGACTTCTCGAATTTCGTTATTTCTCTGTAATTAGATGTCGTTGTTATATGTTCAACACTGTTGCTTTACAGGGGAAACCACTGCTATATAAATCGTGTAGACATTGTTGTTAGGTTTAAAAAATAAGATCGAACATAATTTCTTGGTAAAAGGAAATATGCGCTTATAAGGTTAACTTTATCGACAAATGAGTAATAACAAACTGGACTTAAACACGTCTATGACACTTTTGTTTCTCAAATTCAAATAAATTAATATCGAGAAAGATATCTTACTAATCCTATTTCGGTATCTGGGTGTACTTGAACAGCCCGAGTAATACATCCACATTCACAACTTTAGAGAGTTCTAAATTTTGCATTATAGGTTCGAGTTACAAACTGAATTTTGCTCATTGTGACAAATAGTACAATTGCCTTCCACCTAGCCACGGTTCATTGATCGTGAGCACGCGCTGATATATGTTTGCTAGTTGGTCTGAATACCGTGTCAATAAACATTATAGACAAAACACACATCAATAACAGTTATTTATGTAAAAAGATAAATAATGTTAACGTAAAATGTCTGTGCTAAACAGCGGTTTCCCTGGTGTTTGTAGTTATGTGACCTATCACGATTTCCAGCGGTTACTACAAGTACTTCTGTTTGAAAGTGTGACGTCATAATTAGGACAAGTGACATGACGATATAATCATTAAAAAGAAGACTATACAAAGGTAATCGTATTAATTAAGACACGGTAAATATAATGGCCTCCTTTACTGAGCACATATACGTATTCGTCATATTGTAAACAGATCTTTAACTCATTGTCATTTCAGGACTAATAAAAGTACACGTACACTGTAGTATCGAAGTATATTTATATGAAAAAAACCAGCTCTAAATTTGAGATCAGTCTTTTGAACTTGCGTGTGGTGGAAACTCATTTTAGGTTAACAAATTTGTCATGTATTTTCATTTAAAAGTACCACGCAAAGAAATTCTGTGGGTAAATATCCAAATAGCTAAAACGGATAATAACAAAATAGTAATGATTACCAAAATCCTGTTTTTTAGCTCGTAATTGTACACTCTGTACAATGTATAGGCGTTCTAATCACGGGACTGTAGGAAGCTGACACAAAATGCATTTTGAGAATATTCCTGATGTATGGGGGTGTTACTACGAGACGCTTAAAGCTTTACACGCACATCCACATGTAGTAAAACAATTGGAAAGCTCGGTCATTTTTACCCTGTTGTTGCGAAAAAATGAAACTACAAATCCCGTCTCATTAGCCGTTAAAACTATCTGACAATTGAGTCCAGCTGTTAAATGATAGATACGCAGCAAGAAAATGGCCGAGATTTCCATAGTATATATACACAATCCGTGGATTACAACATTTTGACCAGGCGTTTCATCTTAACCCATAAACATCTAATAACGTTCGCTACACAAAACAAGAGGTGTCATCATTCTCCGGTCCCTTGTGTTACAAAGTTATGATTCTGAATGGCGTACCTGTAAGGCCGTGCTTCTTCGTCAGGGCAGACACCAGATTTCGGTGTTGAGCAGCTAGACTGGACTCACTGTTACTTCTACCTGCAACGACAAAATGATAAATAACAGTTAGAGAGAGTAGTAGGTATTTTAGTCAATTATCGACCATGTTAAGTAATTGACGACTGTATGACAGTTAGAGGTCGTACCTCATAGAGGACTATACCCGGATACGCCGACAAATATAATTATTGTGACACGTAAATTATTTTTAGAAACATTCTCTTCGTAAAATGACCCGGAAAATATGGTAAGTACATACAATTACGAGTCGTAAACAACTAGAAATGATCCTCAACCGAGTTATGTTTCAGATTAACTAACAAATCAAGATATACAATGCTTGAATACCATTTATATTTAAAATCTACCACTTACCTACAAATCAATCAGTTAAAATAATTCGCTGAAAATGAATGAAATTGAGCAAGAAATTTAGACTGTGTGAAAGCAGTAACGAAGACTAGCAGACTGATCTGTTTAAATTGTAGCGAGTTGCCGGGCGGTTGTTGGGGCACCTGTAACGGTGGATAACCATCAGGTTGCTGAGATCGATAATTTTGAGGTGACATGCGCTTCTACTAGCATAAGGACCTGTAGTCACCTGCTATTCGTCCTCCATTAGAGAGGTATACTGAACACACATATAATGCACCTGATCCTAAACAACACACTTTCAATTCCAAGTTAATAAGAGTGTGATGACAATTCATTGAAATCAATGTAAAGTAAAACAGAAAAAATAGAACCTCAGATTGAATACAAAAGGTAAAAATGGCAATGGAACTGAAACTCACACCTGAACAAATAGTATCACAGCATCAACACTAACAGACAAAATAGTAACAAAGCATCAACACCAACGGACAAAATATAAACACAAACCAACATCCATAGACATAATAGCAACACAGCATCAACACTAACGGACAAAATAGTAACACAGCATCAACACTAACGGACAAAATAGTAACACAGCATAAACACTAACGGACAAAATAGTAACACAGCATTAACACAAACTGACAAAATAGTAACACAGCTCAACACAAACTGACACAATAGTAACACAGCTCAACTCAAACTGACACAATAGTAACACAGCATCGACACAAACTGACACAATAGTAACACAGCATCAACACAAACTGACAAAATAGTAACACAGCATCAACACAAACTGACAAAATAGTAACACAGCATCAACACAAACTGACAAAATAGTAACACAGCATCAACACAAACTGACAAAATAGTAACACAGCATCAACACAAACTGACAAAATAGTAACACAGCATCAACACAAACTGACAAAATAGTAACACAGCATCAACACAAACTGACAAAATAGTAACACAGCATCAACACAAACTGACAAAATAGTAACACAGCATAAACACTAACGGACAAAATAGTAACACAGCATCAACACAAACTGACAAAATAGTAACACAGCATCAACACAAACTGACTAAATTGTAACACAGCATCAAAAGCAACTGAATAAATAGTAACACAGCATCAACACTTACGGACAAAATAGTAACACAACATCAACTCCAACGGACAAAATAGTAACACAGCATCAACTCCAACGGACAAAAAAATACTAACACAGCATCAAAAGCAACTGACAAATTAGCAACAAAGCATCAACACCAACAAACAAAATGCAAACAAAGCATCGACACCAACGGGCAAATTAGTAATAAAGGTTAAAGACACAGGATGGATAAGAATATTACTAAAACTTAAAAACACGCGTACAAAGTAGTGTCACAGTTTGGAACAAAAATTCCCACCAAATACATTGTATTGTTACTGCTTGAAAAACAGGAACAAAGTAGTTCCAGAGCTTGAATGCATGAAGTTGAAAAGACAGGAAAAAGGAACGATCAGACTCGAAAACAAAGAGAAATCACAAAAACCTAAAACCGGAAGTAAACAAAATGTTTTGTAAAAGTTCTACACCACGTAACTACTCGAGCAGTATGTATGGCACCAGCCGTTGGATATCGTGGATACAAGTCAAACATCTCGGTCAGCATTGCGCAGTTAATGCTTCTAAGAAACAACAAGCGTTACCGACGAAATTCAGGGTGTTACAGCAAGCATGGCTAACCCGATTAGTGTTGGTTTACAGCGTCAGTTATTTTCAAACTATTGGGAAACCTATCCGTTTTATTTGTGTGGGTATACTACGAAGACAACTGGACGCTTGACCTTATTTTGTCAATAAAATCGAAAGTAACGTCATTAGACAACGGGGTAGAGGTGTAATTAATGACGTCAGTGAACAATATGCGCTTACATTTCACTATCAATATGTATAACAGTTAAGGAAGTGTTTTTACTGAAAAGATTTAAAGAAATTTCAATGGGATATAAAACATCGGAAAAAATAAATGATATTGATTATTACAATAAAAAGGAATCGTTGCGACAAATTACTTCTGTAACTATCTATTATGACCACCAAAGTTGCCGGAAGGTTCGTATCCACTTTCTACTCTGTTTTTTGTAGACCTCACCTGAGTTTTAAGGTTCTTAAAAGAGATTGAAAGACTCTGACAATTATTCATGATACTCATGTTGTGTAAACTTATACTCGCCTTATGTAAACTTTTTCGGGGTCTTGACTTTCATTTGAGAACGTTATCGGGTAGGTGACAAAGTTTGCAGCACACATTCATGACTCATAGAAGGGTTTCGTCTCTCTACCTTTAACTCTCTGGCTGGTATGTAAGGCTAGTTATATCCTGCCGGTCTGTCTTTGTTAACGAAGGGACTCTTTTGTAAGGCGGAGGTTTCAATTCAAAAGGAAAGAGCTATCAAATTTAACGACTAATTCACACCTGTCCTTCAATCTAATTGATAGTCTGGAGTCCAGGTGAGCTCAGAAAAACGTTACAAGGGGTGTACATTACAAATTAGTCTCCGATTCTAACGTTAATCGGGGAGATTGATATCCCTCTCGGGTAAATTTTATAATTACCAACTAATTCTAGCTACCTCTCAATTGACGTGGTCTGACACTCAGGATCTGTGTGAATGTAAGTGCGAGAAATGAAGACACGTCAGTGCAATCATCTCCTCTTCCATTTCGAGGGCTGAGGCATCATGATAATACGGAATGGGTAATTAGAACGAAACGAAATCCTTGCAGAGTCTAGACATGTGCTCAAGTTACTTCAAATAAACTTAGTAAAGACTCGTATTTCTGCTTTCTATCCAAAGAAAGCTATAAATTACTCCGTAGGACGACAGTTCTAGTCGGTCGCTCAGCACCTCGCTCGTCAGATGATCCTCTGTTCGTGGGATAATTTCCTCCTCTTATCTCCCTTCCTATGAGACCGAATGTTACATAGGTATTCCGATAGCTCCGAGTGACTGGTGGGGCCTATTAAGTTTTCAGCATTGTCATTATGTTGACCAATAATAGGATAGCGTCATGGAAGCAACGCAATATGTAAAGTAACACATCCTTCTTATATTTCAAACTTAATTAAGGCGACACTGATAGATATTTAGAGCTGCTGAAATCGGTAACCACCGAAAACAAAATCCGGCCGTATATAATGAGAAATATGTATGATCTGCTGAAGTTCGCATTAATAAACTTGGGTTTTTGTTATGGGAAGCTATAATGAACAGACAAAATAGTAATGGCGAACGTGACCGTCAACATTGGTTTATTTGAACAGAGATACTGTAAAAATGGCTAAACGGCATGACATAAATTGTACTGTTTCGTTAGCACCCCAAGTGTAAGGCGTAAAGCACTCAGTACTCATGATACTCAGAATATTCAAAGATTTATTGCGTGAAAAAATAATTGTTCCAAAATTGTTTCCGTTTGGTTTGTGGTTAACTATTGATTCAATTAGTCGGTGCTATATAGTTGTGTATCAAAGAAAAATCAGGCACTCAAATATGCTATATATAATCGTAAGTATGACAGAAAAAACATATCAAATGGAAAAAATATATCGAAAGGGACAGCAACACTACGACAGAGGTACAGGAGGCTAATGTCACTGGTAAACACGGTACTGCTCGCCATGTGCCGAGTGAACACCAAACTACTCAATGCGACTCTATACATTAACATTAGTAGACCTATGTGTCCCTCGGAAGTCAAAGAAAACGCTTTCCAGATGATCATAATCAACAAATCAAGAGGACTTTATAAGTGTCACGTCTAGTTAAATGGAAGCCATTCTACCTGACCAGAGTAAGCAGGCGACAGTTCCCATGAATAGGTTAAAAAGATGCAACTCCAACAGACATAAACATTTACGTAAAACAATTAAACATTTATCCAGCAAATTCTGATATTAAGTGTCAATTTCATACCTTAGGATCTATTTCCATCGAACAATGTCTAGTTGTTTAAAAGACTCATTGACAGAAAACGATAGCAGACAATGCGCTGTGGCGTTCCATTCTTGTTTGCTGCATCAAGCAGAAACGGTAAGCATTTAAAACAACAGGCGACGACAATAGAGGTATTTAAGCTAGATGTCAATCTTGAAGTAAAATAATAATAATGGAATAACAGTCGATATCTTGATTACACGAGAAGTGCACGTTAGATCATCTAAGGATCTGTATTATGTATGTTGATTTGTATGTCAATCCTCCGAACAACACTAGTGTAGTCAGCCTGTCTGTCACGTGACACTCCTCCTCCCTGCTATCCCCAATATCTGATTACATCTTGATTAGCACAGTCTTGCGTATAGATCGTTTGTATAATAACTATTTTGTTTATGGTACTCTAATTGTCAAAAACAAGAAAGCGTACACGGTGACTTGATATCCGGCCAAAGATCAGGTTCCACAGGATGCTTGGTGCTTCCTTTGACGTGACAGCAGTTCGATGACAGATTGAAACATTGGACACGTGGGAATTCGACATGGATACCTAGTCGACACTTTGGAGAACTCGAGAAATATACGGAATTTCAGCACGAATGACCAGCCGTATTGTACCCTTCACAAAGCTGTCACATTCTCCAGTCATGTCTGTTATTCCAGGACAGACAACAATGGGGTTATATGTCAGCCACATTGTATAGATGGCGCTGCAACCAATATCATCACGTGTCTATTGGTTACTTTTATAACCAAGCGCAACGACGATACATTAAAATTAATGTCAATAAGTTAGAGGGATTCTTTTTTTGGCTCGACCAGTTACCAAACGCGATGAGTTGGTTATCGTTGTTTAAAATAATATCTATTTGCAATAAGACATTTTAAAGAACGAATCGAAGGAATTCAGAATATATAGGAAAGACAATTTTGTTTTCTCTATAAATACGCTTTATTCATTTACAATCATATTACTCGTAGACAATTCGTGACGTCAAAGCCGCTATTACTAGTGAGGTGCTGGGTTCATAATATCTAAGTAGTTTATGTAATATGTGATGTCCAAGTTTATAACATCTTAAGTTGTACTAACTGAGATATCCGATATATAATATCTTTCGTGGTTGCTTACTGAAATAGCCTGGTTTATTTAATCTTAAATGTTTTTCGTACTATGAGATGTTCGAGCGTTCGATTTATTATTTCGAGCGCTCGAATTAGTCTTTACATGTAGGATCATGCGTGAAGTCTAAGTCATACGGGAAGCCGAAAAAAACATTGTGCATGTCCTTAATGTAACATCGTAGATATCAGAGATAATAACATTATATATATTTCATGTTTAACGTACTGATTTGTCTGACGGGTGGTCGGGTGGCGCAGTGGTTCGATTCCCCAATCGGACGTGAAAATGTATGGGTTCACCTGTCTGACAACGTGGGGTTTCTCCGGGTACTCCGGTTTCCTCCCACATTTAGACCCCAGCGTGCTGATATCCGGGCCAACATGAGTCATAATTGTTGTAAAATAAATAAGTATATATATGATACATGTATCTTTAGTGTTTTGAACAATGTCTTCCAGTGTTTTAGCACGAACTTAGATAAATCCGTGGTTTTAGGTACGACATATCTGGGTTTAAAATATCTCAATCTTGTCAGTAGACTCCGGTATATACAGATAAAAAAGGCTATTCACTATCAAGTCAATACTTTCATGCTTTACTTTTCTTAATACATCGGCATCAAATGACACTTTTTGTATAACTATTTATGCCTCAGACATAAGGTAACAAGTGGGTAATTAATGCCATTTTATATAACTAAGTATGGCTAATTTGTCGTGATTTTGTCATGAGGTATTTTAATTTCAAGGATTGTTACAGTTTGAGGACTAAGTACTGTGATACAATAGGCGTATTATGTACCTATATCAAGACGGTTAAATGTGACGAATTCAGACAGTAACACGGAAAGTATAGGTTTCACAAAACTCCAACAGAGAGATCATCACTAGTGATACACAATCTCTGATCTAACCAGGCCGTTCGTGTCAGAACCGTTTTGTTCCGTTCTATTCTCTAGAACAGGGTAAGCGGCGTAGACATTTTCATATATTTATATAAGCCTATTGCTTAAATTCCATAATGCTGGTACATAATGCTAATTACAAATGGCATATATATAGTGGATTTAAATAACATGTCAAAAGCCTATAATGATCGTTCACATGATGTTCAACATATTGTCCATCTTCAGTCACAGTAAAGGGGGGCTTACTTCCTCTAACTCTGCACATATCAACTGCAAAGACGAAGTCAGCAACCGGTATTTTTGGAAGCTGCTGAAATGAGTTGTTTTAAGTATTGTTAACAGTTTTTCATATGTAGGCCTACTTATTTCCAATTAAAAGCCTAATACCTCCTTTCTAGAATACAACACTTCAACCTACAAGTCAGGAGTTAAGATAAAGACAGACACGTAAAATGCTTTGAATGTGACAACCAAACTTCAGATTCACAAATAATTAGATGAAATTAAAATTCTACTGACATTTACGTTGAAAGGAAATATCAGTTTTTTCCGACGTGCATGACACTTTCATTACAGCGACTGAGCCTCTTAGGTTACAACGTGAACGATCTCCTAACAGTGAGGCGGGATAACCGTATTGATTTACGCCCCTAACTAGCCTACACATGTCTAACAAGACAGTATATTAATATAAATTGACAAGACTATCGCTAGAATAGACGTCACCATTGAAATATTACACGCACGTGAAAGAGCTCGCCAGTGACAGTGACAACACGAGGCCCGATGGTTTCTGTAAAAACCCGGATCGTGACTTTTAATGATGTCGCTGATGTTATATAAGGTAGCATGTGTTTACGACTGATCAGATGATATCCTCATCGCCCTGAACTAATTTTGTCTATGCAAGCAGCGTATAGACACATACTACTTAAATACTAATTTATTCTGACATGCATCAGTTTTGAACCTGGTATGACTTGTACGCTTCAGCGTAATCAAAGATATCCTTTCAGGTACAAAGTCTTTTAGAAAATATTGTTTTAGAAATATTCATGTTTTGTTTAATTTTCAGTTTTAGGACTGTCAGTAAGTGTATGAATGTTGTTGTAAAGTTTCACGTTAAATTGTTTATCAAATAACATCCAAAAACTCATAGCATAAATATCTTATTGACATATAGGCAACAATTACAAGAGTACAAACTTTAAAGATAAGGTTCAATTTTTGTTTAAATTTAAAATACAAAAGCTCTCTATAAATTCCTGTTTTTATTTGTTGTTAGTGACATTGTTGTTTAATAAAGGGTAGGATCAGACAGGCAAACATGTAGGATATCTTTATCATATCGAGTTTTCCTACGAAACAATTCTGTTTTATTTAGCGCAGATAAAGGCGTCATAAGTCTTCATTGTGTAAGAGACGTATTTCCCTCGGCTATAGAGTTTCACTGAAATCCTAGCTTCCCTCTGCGCTACACCACGATGTACATTATTTCCAGATTCATGACTTTTGGAGATATTATGAGGTTACTGGTATTTGGCGCTGGTAGGTTTGTTGGGGGAGAAGGGTAGGGTGTATTAGGTTATAAATATTATCTCCAGATATTCTTTATCCTCTTTACCGTTTTTTCTCTCGACCCATTCTAATTGGTTTACCATAGGAGTGGAACACACAAACCGACCCTCCACCACAGCTTTAGAAGAGCATACAAGATTATGGAACATAAAATCTCTCTGAAATTCGATACTCTTTGTCGTCATGTTTGGGTGTAAAATCAGAAAAAAATATGATAGGCTGTTTGCCGGCTTCCTGTGTTTGTACGGGGATGGATTTACTCTGGCTCTTTCATTATGGCAATGCATGTGGTAAAAATTAAACCTACAGCTGCAGATGAAATTTCACCATTTCCCCTAATGCTGTGGGTATCAGTTTACGTCGGGCGCGCAGTACACGAGCTATGCATCTCCATATTATTCCTTGGGCAGTACAGGTACCATACGCACGCACGAGAGATAGTTCTAAAATTAGAAAACCACAGGAAGTGAGTGGTTTGCCTCGCGGAGTAATCGTTGATGTTGGTAGTGGTGAGGATAATAGTCATTTATCAATGCGATATTAAAATATTAGGCCCATGTTGTATTTTTTTGAATAAATCAACATAAAATTAACATAGCTGATGTTTTTTTAAAGACATTTCTGATTGATGATATATCTCTATCTGTTTCTGTAGCTATCATTTGACGTCACAGGGACAAAGCGCTGTTTTACCACACTGTCAATGCATTGCACACACTACACACCCCTTCCGGTCGATGACACCCCCACATGTAAACTTTTACATAATACACAATAGCATTAAGCCCAAAAACCCATATTAGTATAGTATCCTGTCATTACAAACGACTGTAATCAATTTATCTCGTTACTGCTTGAAATAAACTCCAAAGCAAAGTAGGAGAAAATGTCCACAAGATTAGTTAACGAATAGGGAAAAAACAGTGGATCAATAACCGATCCTTGAAGAAAACGGCCTAATATGTTTGTCAACTGAACAGTCGCCAGGTACTGGCCGTAGGTCGGTGGTTCTCTCTGGGTATTGCGGGTCTCTTCTACCACCATATTTCGTATGCAAAAAGAATACTTACTCAAACATTGAATACAGCAAAGATAAACTGTTTTTGCAAGTGTAAAAGTCAAATATCTAAATATGACGCATTCCTCGCGCCATACCAATGCAGTATCAGTTTACAAGATGAGGCGTCTCGTACTTACTCAGTCTGGAAAAGTCGCTTCGCCCAGAGAGACTGTCGTCGTCGTCGTCGTCCTCGTCGCTGAGGATACTATCGTCGTCGTCTCGACTTCCACCGTCCGTTGGCGAGCGGACGTCGTCGATGCTTGTGTAGCGCTCGAGATTGAGATGTTCAGTGTCCTCACTGTTCACTTTGTCATAGCCATACCAACCCAGTAGCTCATTCATAGTATTCTCCGCATAGTCCTGCAACATACAGAAAAACAGAAATGGCTATAGTAATGATTAAACGTTCCCGAGTCTTAATAGACCAACCATTTCAGATAGGCTCACCCACCGTACACATATCACTCATACTATCCACGATATAGCCCTAGGCTTCCTTTATAATACAGAAACAGTAGCTACCAAATGTTCAACATAGAATCGAAAGGCCTTTCTACAAACAGACAAATAGAATGGTAAAGATAGTCGTCCCTTCCTGAAATCAAAACATAAACAGATTGTCTTCAACCTTGCAAACCTTGCAATTAGTAGGACGATATAGATCTACACTAAGAATCAGATTGATAAAACAATGCGTTTATTTTAGTCAAGCTTGGGATCTGACATATTTTTATTTTTATTTTTTTAAATTCTAGACGCACTAGACCTTTAAGAAATCTACAATGTTCAGTTCATGCTGTCTAAAGTTAGAAACGTTAAATCAACATTTACTTCCGTGTTTTGTAAACTTAACCAATCAAAACTTTGAAAATTGTAGTCGTGATTTGTTTTACAGGAACGTTCAGAAGAGGACAAAAGAACGCCCTAATGTACATGATTCCAGCAAGTAACTTCGACACTGGTACTTCTGCTTTTAGTCGACGGAAATACGATAGCTTAGGATATCAACATACAAACGACTTTATTATACAGTAGGTCGTACGATGAAAAGTCCCGTTCCACTACCAGTATTTCATCAAAATATTGTACAGTACAAAGTAAGTTCATGTGTTCTAGGAGTTTCTGAATGTGACATTTACTTTGGTCTTTGGACTGAAAGCATGGAACTTTGCTGCTTTTGTATTTTACCAAACTATTGTCGATGCTTAAACATTATTTGTAGCCCCTTGGCATGGAATCCTGAAAATGATGACATAGTATTATTTTGAGAGCTTTCCTGATGTTTATTGAGAATTATATAACATTTAAAAGTTTAGATCAAATACCACCCCAGGTAACCACAGCTTATCGAACGGTTATTGTGAATGACAATGCTGCATCTAACTACCAATTCGTCAAACAGCAGACAGACACATGTAGATAAATCGACTCATTCCAATATGTTTGGAGTGTCTCAAATTCGGCAATGTCTCGACAAACCACGAATGCGAACCCAAATATTCAAACAATATTTACTACCTCCTGGCTGAGAAACTTCTGTTTATACATCCAACATGGATGCAAGTTCAGTTTCAGATACATATACTAAGGTCAAAGTTAACAAAAGACTGATTGGTAAAATGTCACAGTTTGATATAGATTGAATATGAAGTCAAAGAAAAGGACACAGTTTTTTTAAGTCCACTTTAAGGTCACAGTTAAAAGCAGTTTCTCTTGCATGTCACATTAAAGAAAATATATACTTAACGTTAGTAGAAAGGCATATTGAATTATTCCTGACATGAAATAACAAGAAGTTTGTATTTTCCTCCAATGACTTGCATGTACGTAGCTAACTAGGTTTACAATAAGAGGGTGATGCTAGTGACCCCAATACACCCCAAGCTGCTGTCTCTTCGAAACAAAACAAAATAAAACTAATCACTGAAAAACATTCATGGAAGCTGAAAAAACCGATTCGTCAGAATTGTATACTTTGATACCTCTATATACAATGCATTAAGCAAAACACAAACTGCACAACGACGTCATCAATGCATTGCCGTCCGTTAGAAATGTGTGGCCTTGACCCTTATATTTCAAAGATAACACTGCGTGTTATTATGGGGGGAAAACCTCCCAGATTTTAGAGAAACTTTCTTGCAAAGAAATATAAAAAACAATGATTTGTAATAGAAGTTTCAGCCTTCAGCATGTTTGAAATGCGGTCTACTCCAACATCCATGGACTCGACCAGATTATCTTTCATTAAAACAACCATTAGAAAAAAACTATTATCGTACACCAGAAACAGTGCGGTAAGGTGTCAGTGGACCATGGTCGGAGTGGTCGCGTATCGTCCTTACTGATCAATACCTTACCACTGGTCAGTACCTTACCACTGGTAAGTACTTACGTGTTGGCTGGCTCAGGAACGTAACAGGTATTGTACACACAAGGCGATGGAGGACACACAAAATGATAACGTTACAACAGTCAGAATTGTTGTGTACATGTGTTCAGTCACAGTGGTTAGCCGAGCTCAACCGCAACGTCCTTTATAGTCCACACTCTCTCGTTTCTCCATTTAATAAACGATGAAAGAAAAAACCCTGCAAGATAATACTTAGGGTATGTCTTGTTTTGGTAGCGTTTGAAAGGGGAGAAGCATCATTTTCTTATTAAGACGCAGGTGTGCCACACAACGCAAGCTTGACAGAGGCCCTACACGACACATATGTGTGAAGTAACATTAATTGTTACAAGATTTTATTCTCCTTAGCTGATTTTGTATGAAAATAGGTACGGAATTCATGAACATGTAACTTTGGAAAAAATATGGCAATGTTCTTTTCTCAATGTTATTTCAAGCTAACATGACTTAAAACAGAAGCGTAACCAGGTGAGAAACGACAGGTGCTACTCGCAACACCTTTCTGCCCGACGATAGCACACCCTGAAAACTCTACATGGTGTGAAATTGAAATTGTAAGAAGTTGACTACTTAACTGGGTGTAATATGACACAAGATTTGGAAGGTGACGGCCGGAAAGAAAGACACTGATATCAATATGGAAACATATATGTCCTTATCGCCACACGGTTCTTGGGTGTAGGATTTCAAAAAAGACTTTGACAAATAAATTTACATATATCCATGTCCTTGTGATTGACAGTTGTCATAAAAGTGAAATGTAAGTCTGTTGTGTATTCTAATTGTGAATATCATGTTTACACACAGATACACAAAAGCTATTTGGCCTGTGCCTACCTTATAACAAAAGTGAACCAGCTTACATTGCTGTTTTAACATTCAGCGCTACACAATTAGTACACTATAGATGGAACAGTACAGGGTCAATCCTCACACAGGCCACAATGTACCAGCTCGAGATTCTCGTATCAGATAGATAGCTTTAGCGTGCTGTACCATACCGCTATGTCAAGAAAAAATATATGTTTCTGCCTCGTGAACATGGAGTGTTTATCGGGCCTACAACCCCCATATCGTTTTCGACATATGCTTAGCCACACCTATATATCAAGTTACAACGACCTTCTCGATCTCCGCATGATTCGAACTATGGCCCTAAGCACACACAAACATGTACCTACTACGGCGACCATCATCAAATAAGAACTGCCTGTAAACACACCGACTTGATCTTTACACCTATTGGTCAGAACTATCCGACAGGATTGCAGATGTGCTTAAATAAATAAGATTTGTAAAGCCAGTATGTATTTTGCCAAATCCGTAAATAGTATCTATATTGTATATCTTACTATAAGGAAGAAAGATGTAGAATAAGTATGAGGTAAATTGAAGCGATATTGCCACTAAAATAACGCTAGCAACCACAGGGACCTGATCATTCGATACTGCTTTATTTGGATTAAAACTCAGGTGTTCAGAGTAATTTTACACGCTTTAGGGGTTTAGATAAATTTACGGTAAAAATGACACCCTCTATGAAAATATGTCTGTAACAATTTCTCAGGTCCCTTTGCTATACGAACGTCCGCAATGCAACCAAGAGGTCATTACGTTACAGGACCTACTTCCGGTGTGCCGTGAAAGACAGGAGACGAGTTATCTCACCACATGTTGCCAACGTATGCTTGGCAAGCTTTTTTTAATTACTTGATCTGTATCTGAAAAGTATTTGATATAGTATAACGTCGACGCGCAAGGTTACTACACAGGGAGCTGTCACGTTTACCGGAAGTTGATCTAAACCCCTAAAACGTTTAAAATTACTCTGAACACTTTAGGTAAGGTCCAAATATAGTTGTAACAGATGCTTAAGTCCCTATGTTTTATTATAGGAACTAAAATTTCATAAAGCGTCAACATATAATGATAATATCATACCTCAAATATAGTCTAGTGCAACACACAGGGACAATATCAGACCTCAAATATAGTCTAGTGCAACACACAGGGACAATATCAGACCTCAAGTATAGTCTAGTGCAACACACAGGGACAATATCAGGACTCGATAATAGCACAGTGTCACTACACAGGGACAATATCAGACCTCAAATATAGCCTAGTGCAACACACAGGGACAATATCAGACCTCAAATATAGTCTAGTGCAACACACAGGGACAATATCGGACCTCAGATATAGTCTAGTGCAACACACAGGGACAATATCAGGACTCGATAATAGCACAGTGTCACTACACAGGGACAATATCAGGACCCGATAATAGCACAGTGTCACTACACAGGGACAATATCAGACCTCAAATATAGTCTAGTGCAACACACAGGGACAATATCGGACTTCAAATATAGTCTAGTGTAACACACAGGGACAATATCAGACCTCAAATATAGTCTAGTGCATCACACAGGGACAATATCTGACCTAAAATATAGTCTAGTGCAACACACAGGGACAATATAAGACCTCAAATATAGTCTAGTGCAACACACAGGGGCAATATCAGACCTCAAATATAGTCTAGTGCAACACAAAGGGACAATATCAGACCTCAAATATAGTCTAGTTCAACACACAGGGACAATATCAGACCTCAAATATAATCTAGTGCATCACACAGGGACAATATCAGACCTCAAATAGAGTCTAGTGCAACACACAGGGACAATATCAGACATCCGATATAGTCTAGTGCAACACACAGGGACAATATCGGACTTCAAATATAGTCTAGTGCAACACACAGGGACAATTTCAGACCTCAAATATAGTCCAGTGCAACACACAGGGACAATATAAGACCTCAAATATAGTCTAGTGCAACACACAGGGACCATATCAGACCTCAGATATAGTCTAGTGCAACACACAGGGACAATATCTGACATCAAATATAGTCTAGTGCATCACACAGGGACAATAT